GGGACCCCCCCCCCCCCCCCCCTCTTCTTTTGTGGGGTTCGGAAAGCCCCTTGTTGCTCTGACATTTTCCAAATATCAAAAGGTTGTATTAGAAAAGAGCAGAGCAGGTGAAACAGAGAGTCAAAATAATGACAATTATTCATATTTCTTAGGCTCAGTGAAAATTAAAATTTAGATTTTAATTTATGTCAAAATTAATAATTAATTTTAATTACGCATTTCAACATATCAACAAATTATCAATAATATATTTTATCAACTTTTATCGACATCTACTAAATTCTTATTTTAATCTCAATCAAACAGCGACCTGACAAGGTATATACAATTCACGTCTGTATATGTAAATTTTATTACTAATAAGGGGGTGTTTGAGCCACATTATTTTGGTAATAATGCGTTCTTGAATAGTGTATTGATGGAAAATGTGTGGTTAAAAAATAAGGAAAAGTTTTTGATTTACGTGTAATATTATTTTATTGAAGAATGTGTTGTTGAAATGATGTCAAATTACTGTTTAACAATGTATTTTTTTGAAATAATGTGGCTCAAACAGACCCTAAATGTTATTTATATGATAGTACATTAAAAGTTACTTTTAAAATAAATAATCTATTTTAAATAAAGAATGTTTAAAATAATAATTGACTCTCTCGAAGCTTTCTAAACAGGCATTAACCTCGAGAAATTCCTCCAAGTTTTTGAATTAAAGTGGAGACTCACGTGTGCAAAACTACTTTAAAGCTGCATTTGAATTTGAATTTGAATTGTGTGCGTATTGGGGTTGGTTGGGGGAGAGGGGGCGGGGGTGGTTGGGGTTTACAATAGAAGCATTTCTTGATGTTTACAAACGGCATTTACTTTTCAAATGGTGTGTGCCCTTCTTTTAAGATTGAAATAATTCAATTATAAAAAGAACTTTGCTCGTGGCCCTGTTCGTCAAGGGACCCGAATTGGCGATAGGATGCTCCAATTAGGCCCATTTTCCCTTATTAAAACGCATACTATTGAGAGAAAAACGACTTTTTGTTAAACTCAGTATTCATTACCATGACATCTCCATTACTCTAAAAGATTGAGAATTGGACTCGATTGCCCAGTACAAATTTGGAAAATGATTGCGTAAATATAATTTTAAGTTATTTTTGCTGCCAAATATCCAATATGATTGAATAAATTTGTTGACCTCGATTTCTACATGGATGATATGGTCAACAAATCTCGGCTCCATTTACATCTATGTAGCCTATCTTATGCATACTTGAACAAATCGTTAAAATTATGTGGTATTCTTCTATGGTGGGAGAGGCAATTGCAAGTATTCCGACGATCAAGTCAATCAACTAGAATAGATATATGTGCGTATGGGACGAGCAAAGGATGTGAGCCACAAAAGTGTTATGACATCAACATTTAGAGAATAAAATGAGAGAGAACAATATTACTTGAGTGTATAAAATTGTATTACTTACAAATGACATTAAATGTGAGCTTTATAGTAGAAGAAGAGAAATTGTTACCATTAGATGAGAAGACACGTTGTCTCATCCTGATGGTCGAGGCGACTTCTCCTAAGTGTCAGTCCATCAATCCTAAGTTCAGAGGCATTTAATGTTTCTGAAAAGTGGTCACCCTATAGTCTATGTCTGACATCTAAAAAGTAGATTGACAAGTTGATTATGCGATATATGCTGCAGAAATTTCATATCATTCAATCATAGGGAGATCTTATACGGAATATCTCTTGGCATAGGTGAAATAGTAGATATCTTCCTCATTAAGAGGATAGTTACTTCGGATTTATTCTGCAGCAAGTTATATTACCTTGCCAAGGCCATGGAGCTTCGACTGAGATGATGCATTACTTTGGCTACCTTAGTTATGGCCTTGGCTAGACTAGATAGGATGGTGATGCAGAGTATGAGCTTGATTGAGCTTGTTAGCTGGCTATCACGTGACTTATGTTTGGAGCCTCATTAGATGAGGCGTAAGAATAGTCCTCCGAATTCAAATATGGATAACTATGTAATGCATGGACTTTGGGATCAAGCCAGTCATTAAGTTGGAGGGTGATTTACTTTCAAAGTGATTATTTTGCGTGGAGTGTTTTACTTTTGAGTTAAAAATCATTTTAACTGGGTTATCATTTGTTATAGTTGTGTCTGAGCACAATAAAATAGTCCTACAAGTCCAAATATAAATATTTATATAATGCATGAATTTAAAATGTTGAAGTAATATTATGATACCTTGTGTGGCAACTATGCAAGTAGGTTCTTACAGAGGTGAGGTCCTAGTGTTGAGGACAAGGCCCTGAAAGATAGACAGGTTGATGTAGATAGGATGTAGAAGCGAGGTCCTAGCGCTGAGGATGAGGCTTTGAAATATAATCAGCATGATAAAACTACGATGTTGAGGCGAGGTCCTGGCGTAGAGGATGATGCTTTTAAAGGTAAGCAACTTGATGAAGTTGTGATGCTGAGGTAAAGCGACTTGAAATGGAATGTTGTGATAGAGGTGATTTGGAACCTTTGGGCTGAACAAACATTTTTAGGTTCTTGACAATGATTAGAAACTTGTTGCATGTTTTCAAGAAATCCTATTGAGGCGTTGCCCACTTCAAAGACACACGTCTCGTAGGCCATGAATGCTAATGATGATCTATGACTATGAAGGTTCAAGGGTAGGCGATTATACGCGCTTAAGTTGAACCGCTTCATCTGAGCCCTTGATTTTTCGTGATTTTTTATTTTTACTACTCAGATGAGCCTAATAAGTGGATGGCCATGATCATTCTTTTGTTAATCCAATGACTTAGGTTTGTTGCCTTTGCCTAAAAAAGACCTCATTCTCTCATTTGCGAATTCTATACTTTGCAAAAAATTTGAAAACACACCCTTACTACTTTCGACATGAAACTTGAGATTTCGATGACATTCATGAACTCTGGGCAAGTCTTTGTTGTAGACAATTCTTTCTTTTAGATTAATCTCTATTTGAATTTCATTTTCTCCATCTTTTTTGTTTCTTCTTCATCTTCGGATGATCTAAATATGTCCGAGGCTTTTGAAAGTATGTCTAGCAAGAAGGGGACGGGGGGGATAGATTGCTGTAGTGCCTTGTAGAACTAGGGAACCAACCATTCTCATTTCAATTAAGATTTTGCAGCCATCAGGTACGATGAGAACATATGGAGATTATTTGTAGATGTGTCACACAGGACACATCACCCTCGAGCCCCATGATCTGGCCTATTATTCGAAGAGAGGTGCGTGGTGGTTAGTGAGGCTATTCTAAAAGCCGACCTTCGCCTACCTATTCATCCGGTCTTTCACTTAGTTCTACATTCCTACAGCTTAACTTTGACCTACTTGAACGTGAACTCGTAGATTTAGATTGTGGGGTCATGGATGCTATGGAGCGAGGCTGCAATGTGTGTGAAGACATGCCATTCAACTTCTTCCATTGCCTTTACAACCTAAGTCTACTAGAGGGGAAGGCGGAATCCATGAAAGGCTGGTAATACTTGACGTCATGAGGGTCGCATACCCCTTTTGTGTTGGGGCTATTGATCTCTATAAAAGGGTGGAAGGAATCCTAGTTGTGGGTGTGAAGGCTTACAGACACTCACATAGGGATGGACCCCATGTGAATTAAAATATTGTAAAAAATAACCCACCCACCCCTGTATGTGTGTATTCTGTAAAAATTATGTACATTTATTTTCTGTACGTGTTGCTTGGTTGTTTTCATAATCTATCAACTGCCAAACAGTTTGTAAGTACTCAGAGTTGATTGAGAATAATTTTCATTATGTCCTCAACGATCTAACTGCCTCACAAGGTATTTTCTTAGTTCATTTGCCTCAAGATGGCATCATAGTGGCGAGGTTCAAATATTTTACTGATTAAAGATGAAATAAGCAAGTTTTGTTGGTAAGGTAAAAGTAAATTTTGAAAATAAGTTACTTTTTTACTTAAATGAAAGAAAATTTAATTTAAAATAAATTCCTCTCTTTTTTTCCTCTTTAGTGGAGCCAAACTTGATCAGTTCGTCCATTTCATTTATAAATTGACTATAAAATCTGGAACATTATGGTGAAAATTCAATTGAATAGCTGGTTTTTTGTTCAAACGATAACTATAAATTTTGAGCATATTGGAGGCAACTAGGGAAATAATGAAGAATTACATATTTTTTCCCATATGAAGCAGAAAGAGTAGATTCTACGATTTAAAAAAAAGGGGGCAAATGAATGATTCAGCGGAAGTTTCCGTGGTCTTAAAAGTCAACTTATTAGACATTTTTCTCGACTAGGAATAGGATTACATGCTTCTCTATAGGACTACTTAAACAACTTCACAATGAAGATTTCATTTTTCAACAAGTACAAAAACTCAAATCGAAGTAAAATTTTCTACCATCCTTGAAGAAAAAAATTCATGTACCAGAAAATCCAAAAGAAAAAAAAAAGGGGAGAGAAAATAAGTAAATATCGCATCACTAAAAAATCAGAATATAAATTATTTTTGTTAGAATTAGTAACGATACAACTTCTTTGATTCATTTTTTATTTATTTTTTAATCTTTCTCAAAGATGCTTAATTTTGAGGGTAATAGGCACAAAACACTGTTAACTTTTACTTAGATCAGGCAATCGTTGCAAAATCCAACCCTATCGTCCATTTTTGTTAAATTCATTATTTAATCGGTCATCTGAACTAGGGCTGGGCAAATCTTCCGAACCGAATCGAACCCGATGATTCTTGTCAAATTAAATATCCGAACGGGTATCTGAATTGAAAATCGACGGGTACGGTTCGATTCTCAGTTCTAGACCAAGAACCGAAGAACCGAATAAGAACCGAATCTTTCTAATTTTTTTTTATATTGAGTAAATCAAATTATTTTAATTTTAATTTTTTCTAAACAAATTAACAAATTAACGATTTCTAAATCTAAATTTTTGGCTCAATAATTTGTTTCATTTCTGATTTTTTTAATTTTTGGCCAAATTACCCATTTTATTGTTTCATTTCTTAGCCAAACAAGATCAAATTCACTAAATAACCCTAAACACCTACACTAAAGTGCATAACGTTGTCTCAACTCTCGCACTCACTCTCACAGCCTCGCTAATATTCCAAAACCTATACAATCGTCGGTGGACACTGTGACCTCCGCCGACCGAAGTTTTGATCGTAGTGATCATTTGAATAAGGTAGTTTACAAGTTTCTGACATTCCAAAACCATTGAATGTATCATTAGTTGTATTTATATAATGTTGTTATAAATGTTAAAAAATTAATTATAGTACAGAACCGAACCAAATCGAACCGAACGGAACGGAACTGAATCCGAACGGTTCCATAATTATATTTGGACCCGACGGTTCCATTTACTAGATACTCGAAAATTTTGGTTTGGTTCGATTCTAACTGCGCCCACCCCTAATCTGAACTTCAATTCCTTAAAATATACAACGGCTATTTTGTCAAAACAAGTCCAATTTTTACAGATCCCACCAAAATGCTAAAAACGTCCTTATACTCAATATGAAAAGAGAGGTGGAATATCATATAAACTATAAATTGAGATGAAAACGCCCCCAGGCCACATCTCCATGTGGTAAAAGGGGAGAATGGAGAAATCCAGCTTTGCTTGAGGTTGTCGCGTCAAGGGTTCGAATCCTGAAATATGGATTTGGCTCTTGGATAAGTGCAATTGTACAAGCAGCCTTCCACCTTATACTCTTGGAGGCATAACCTGCGATTTACCTCCCTCACGATGCTTCAGGGCAGGGCGGTGGGGAACCCTTAAAGTTGGGGTTCAACCTTTATAAATTGAGATGAAAACCTCGTGTACACAAGTCAACTCGAAAAGACGGTTCCTGACATGTTAGAAATGCACATAAACAACATGTTTCGAAATTGCTGAGACAGAAGATGGCTTTGGGATTTAGGAGTTGGGATATTCCTTTTTTTTTTCTTTTGGTAACGTGTTTAGTGAATGGTATAAATTTAACTTATGTGTTTTGGTTGCTTCGATGTTAATTGTATAGATAATTGTATTCTAACGTACTCGATTTTCTATTTAGTGTATCATAAATTGTTCTCATGTAATATAATTTAAAGTTTTTTTTTTATTTTTTGTTGAGTTGAATCGATATTGGGACAAAATATTTGCGCAAGAAGACCAATTCCTTTATCCAAACTTTTGTGCTTTAAAACCTTTTGCACAAATCAACCACATCATTTTTAACATTTGCACGAATTAACTCTAACCTATACAATATTACGAAAAACGTCCTCAACAATACCAACAATCAACTAGCAATGCACACAGCAGCAAACAAGCCAAAAATCGACACAAACACAACATCCATAAAACTTGTAATCAACAAGAAGTTGGAAACTAGAAATGAACTAGTAGATTACCCACTAATTGGAATTTACAACAATTAAAGTGGAAATTACGATAACCACCAAGATGTCAACAGCTGGACTAGAATTACAAGCCAAAATCAGTGATCAACAACCATAAAATCCATACTAGAAATTACATGACAAACCAGTAATCAACGTGAAAATTGAAGCAAAATTTTGAATTTCTTGGTGCATATTTGTGGCTTTTCCCGTTGAAGTCTTTGTTTCTATACCACGTCTTTTGAAAACAGATACGGCCTAATGTAAAAATTGGAATTGTTCAAACGAAAAAGCTTTTGGTCATTTCAAAGAATTGAAGTGCACATGACCAGTTAATAGTGAGACATAGAATTGGATGACAGAGTTGTATTCCAAAACGTTTACCTGATTTGGGGTTATTGTGCCAAAATGATAGGAAAAAAATGATTATTTTGTGCAAAATATACAAAGATTAGGCTTGTTTTGTGCCAAATACCCTAATTTTAATTAAAGCTCTCAAGTTGTTTTGCTCACTTAGTTTTTGTGTTGAGATGGGATGTTTGAATTTTGAATAATTCAACCCTAACTGTGCGTGAGAGTTGACGTCACAATGGAATAAATAAAAGATTGAATGTCATATCATTGATTTCCATCTTGAAAAAAAAAAATATCCGTTTGACATGGATTTTTCGAGAATAGATTTTGTAAAAAATGATTTTTAAAGAAATATATGGTCAAAAATAGTAAAAAGTTATCGATCTACATACAAAATTATTTTATTGAAACAATATTGGTTGAAAATGAATTATATATATATATAGGTCCCGTTTGATACCCATTATTTGAAAAATAAAAAAAATTAAATAGTATTTTTGGAGAATGTGTGGAGAAACTTTATAATTTACGTGTAGAATATTTTATTGTATGACTATGTGATAGAGAATGATACTGTAGTAAACAATGTAAATTTTTAAAGATTGTCAAAGAAGGGCTAAATAATATTTACCAAATATTAAATAGAAAATTGAAGAAAGAAGTAAATGGGTACACGTACTTAAGGGATTATTTAAATGTGAGATTGATGGCATTCGAGGGAGGTCTTATGTGGTGATGATTTAATGCTCAAAGTTGACTTAACACTGTACATGTTCGACAACTAAAAAAAATCTTATTTTATAAATATGATTTTCTTTCATCTTGTTTTATTTAAATGTTGAAATACGAACTAATCAATATTTTGTTTAGAAAACTAGATATGACCAACGATAATAAGACTAGAAAATTGAGAATTGATGGATTATATGCTAAGACAAACGTCATTAAAAAAATCGAGATAAAACCTATCGAACGAAATGCTTTTTAAATTGTTTTTAAAAAAAAAAATCCTTTTGAAAAAAAAAAAAAAAAAAAGGATTTAACCAGATATATATTATGAAGAATTTAATATGTCGCTATATAGATAATATTGATGAAAATTAACTTTAAAAAAAAAATAAAAATTTAACAAGGTGCATATATAAAAATGCTAAAAGTTGGCTATTTCAGCATATACTCGTAAAGCTGCACAAATTGTAGAAAATTGGCTTTGTTCTTTCAAGATGATTACAGAAGCCATTTCATATAACCCTAATGAGCCACAAATCTTGCCAATATATGGTGATTCTCAAGATCAAGACAACATGGTTGAAACAAATTCAGACACACACACAAGCTCTTTCCTTGACAACCTGACCATCCTTAAGGAAAAGGTTCATCAAGTACAATCATTGGCTAGCATCTTCTTGTTATTACCACATCACGTCCAGCCACCGGAGTCGACCCTAGTCGGGATCCCAACCATGGTTACCCTAATTCAAGAAATTGTAGTCACTGCATCATCTATGATGTTCACATGCCAGCAGATGGCCATCCGGACACCCCTCAGTCAAGTTAATAGCGATGAATTGCATCCGGGACAACCCAAGTCAACCGATGGTCCGTTGACTCAATCGGACCTAGAAGGGCAGGATTTCTATTCCAATGAAACATTTGATTGGTATTGTGCAAACTATGAGAATCCTATTCCATCTGCTAAGAATGAAGTTTGTAAAGAGGAATTGCTTTCGACGACGGAGAATTATGATATCGTCGAATTGGACGCTGCACATTTATTAGCAAAATATACACATTATTGTCAAGTTTGTGGCAAAGGGTTTAAAAGGGATGCAAATTTGAGGATGCACATGAGGGCTCATGGGGATGCATACAAGTCTAAGGATGCTTTGTGCAATCCCATAAAACATAATGGGAATTCGAGTCGGGTTGATGACATTTTGCCGAGAAAATATTCGTGTCCTCAAGAAGGTTGCAGATGGAACAAGAACCACGAGAAGTTTCAACCATTGAAATCCATGATTTGTGTGAAGAATCACTACAAGAGGAGCCATTGTCCTAAAATGTATGTGTGCAAACGCTGCAACACGAAACAGTTTTCGATTCTATCTGATCTGCGCACACATGAGAAACATTGTGGCGACCTTAAATGGCAATGCTCATGTGGTACAACATTTTCTAGGAAAGATAAGCTAATGGGCCATATTTCCTTGTTTGTTGGGCACTCTCCCGTAATAAATACGTAGACTACGGGGAATGACTGAAGGTGTAAAGCAATCCAGGATGAAAATGACCATGTCATGCTGGATGGGCAGCTCGACCAAGTTTACATTTCTAAGAATGGAGCTCAAAGTGCAATTAGATGACATGTAAATTACTGGAAGAGTCATGTTAGTATAATGCCACTGTTGTCCCTGTAATGTTGTGCATGCTACTATATTATTGACTTATAATGCCTTTGTATTTTGACTTTGCAATCACATCCAGATAGTTCAATTGTTTCTTGAACATGTAATTAAAATGTATGTGACATCTTATGTTTCAAAGTGATATTTTCCCGTTTATTTTAGTTTAGTGACTCTTTTTTTCTTTATCTTTAAAAAAAAAAAAAAAAAGGATGGGTAGTACCAGAATATTTACATGTTGTCCATCGACTACGCCTTTCGGTCTGATCTTGGGCTTTGACTCACCCTCCTTGAATGAACCTTGCGTGAAAGATTAAATACAAGCAAAATACAAAGTAACATCTCAATAGAAAGGGATTTCACCCTACTCCAGAAGAGGCTCGAAGACAAAGTCCAATAAATCTCAACTCTCTTAAACTTTTAATACAGTGTATGATGTGGAAAACTTCCCATTGACAACATGCTGGATTCTCATCCACCATGTCGATATTTTGTTTAAAAAAAAAAAACAGAATTTAAATAAATGGCCGAATTCGGACAAATGAACACTTCCTGATCACTTCGTCAAAAATAAAGTTTGATAACTTAACATGAAACTTCATTGTAAGTCCACAAAAGTAGAAGTTTCTCTACTTGTTTTTGGACTTTCAATTTTGATAATTTTTAGCATTTTTTGAGAGAATTTCATTACTGCATCACTCTTATCCTTGTATCATATGATAATGATATTTCTCCAGTCACCAAGTCGAGTAATTGAGAATTAGTGTTACAAGCTTAAGTTTACAAAAGAGTACCAACGCGAAAATATACCCCCATTACCATTTCACATCTCCATATAATCCATGTTAAACAACAACAACTATTTTCCATTTCTATTATGGATATGGCTATGGACATGCACGTACCCTTTGTCATAAGGTACACATGATAACGTGAAAGCAATTTTAAAAAAAAAGAAAAAAAAAAAAAAAAAAGATTGATTAATCAATGCACATTCAAGAACATCACAAAAGCTAGCAAAAAAGTGAGGGATGAACATCACAAAAGCTAGCAAAAAAGTGAGGGATGATAGATGAATTAATCACATTTGGCATAATCACAATGCACTATACAACAATCCCGGAAACTAAGCCGAAACTGAACTTAAGAAAACATAAATCCAAATATCAGGGTGTTTTGCCAAAGGTTTGAACACAAACTCAATGCCAACAATTTAACTAATTGGAAAAATCGAACTGTAAACCCAATATTTGTTATTGATGCAATCTTAATATCCTCAAAATTCAGAAATACAAGAAGAAAACTTAGACCCACTATTAACCTGATGACAAGAATTGAACAAACAACTTCGCAAACATTTTATGTCATCTAAAAGCCACAGTTCAAACGATGAAATTGACTGGCTACACCAGAAGATATTACTAATTATTTCAGTATCTTTCTCAACATCACTTCAGATTATGGAAATCTAGAAGAGAGAATGAGATACACACGCTAAATGCTGGGCCCAAAAACAATTTATTAACTAATAGCCGAGGACCAGAAGGTACAAGAACAAGATAAAGCAAAAAGATAAATGAGAATCCACCAACTGAGAACTATCAAGGCTTCAATAGTGAATTTGAAATATTACAAATACATTTCAGGTACCAGTTCGACATCAAAGTCTTTGAAACAGAAGTTTCGACATTGAAATTCTTCACACCACAGCACTATAACACTTCTGACATTCTCCCAGAACACAAATTTCTTCATAAAATGGGTTCATTTCTAGCAGAAATGAGCTTATGAGAGCAACAATACAATCAGACGTCAGAAAAGTGGAAAACCTGAGCAAGGAATCATCCCTTGGCAACCATGTTTTCCCCAGCCTGGTTTTCCTGCTGCTGCTGCTGCTGATAGTTCAGTGGCCTCCTGAAGAGCATGATGTGAGGCTCTGGGCGGTGAATTGCGTAATGAACCCACCCTCGGCTCTGCTGAACCCCAATTGCACGCCATTCATTCTAACAGCCAACCAAATTACAATACTTAAAATCATCTATAAGGCAATCTTAAATGCGCATTATATTTCCTTAAGTCTCTGATTATAAGAATACGTTAACATGAAAACTGTTTAAAAACCAGAATTTAGAACTTCCAGTGAGTTGAAAAAAAGTCTTATACAACTTGAGAATTTTAAGAACTTGGTGAAAATGATAATTGTTTTCAATTATTAGTCTTTATGCTCGTGGCCCCTATAAGTTTTCCAAGAAAACAGAAGAAAATTGTTGAAGCATGTTAATTTAATCATTTTAGTAACTTCTCAAGTATCATGACAATATGTTACTGATTAAATTCACTTAAACAGATCGTGAAAAATACAACGACTCCATTTATTTTTCTTATCTCTGATTTCACAGTCATAGACTCAAAGAGAAAATCTTTAAGTCCATGAATCTTAAAAATCATTAAATCCAAATAACAAAATAAAAAATAAGGAAAACACAATTTGTTTCATACATTTCTTTTCCAAGTCACAATAAACAAAAATATTTGTTCTAATAATAATAAGTGGACTTTTATTTATTTATTTTAAAGAAAAGAGAACCCTATATATAGGGCTGTGGCTACACTTCACTCAGCATATACACGAAAACTAAATTTTCATATTGATATTTCATGTGCAGTAACAAAATAGATAAGTAGAAAAAGATGAAATGCCATTATAAATGGTTCATTTATACCAAAACACCCTTATTTTGCAAAACCATTAAATTAGCACAGATTATCATCATTGATCTCAAGATTCTCAACTAACTTTTACACCAACTAGCAAAGTTACATTATTATAGGATCATTAAATAATTCAACTCAAATTATGAAACTACAACTAAGCATGTCTAGCAAAGCTTTAAAAATGTAAAAAATCCCCCTCAAGATAGTAAGTAAAGACACTTTTAGAAAAGTAAGTTCTAAATTCTTAGAAGCGCGGTCATGGACACACGACATAGACTCGCTAGCATGTGCTTTTTCAAAACAGTAGGACACAGACACGTCCATTCAGATTCTTTGAAATTTTACATTTATATATTATACCTTTATTTAAACTTTTTAATATATGACATGACACAAGAAATATCGGATGCTTGTCTTGAGCACCATATATATTTAAAAAATATACAAAAGATCGGTTACGGCACGTGGGTAGTCGAAGACGTGTCTTGCAGTGTCCAGGAGTGCTGGTTTTCAACACGCACTCTAGTATGATTGGCCATACTACATAGTTCAAATAAAAATTCCAAAACAATTTTAGAAAAAGAAAAACCTGTTTGACAAAAGAAGTTACTTATAACTAACTATTAGCTTAGACAAACAATGCTCCATATGTCACTATTGCTAATTATAAAATAATATCATTCAACTCAAATAGCACATATCTGATAAGTGTTACTGCACATTCATTTGCAATTTTTTCTATTTTTCCTTAACGGGGACATAATAGAATAAGTTATTAGCTACCTTACATGAATAACAGTTTTTCTAGAATTTCCTCTTTTATTTATATTGTAGATATTCGGTCATTTTATAATTTTTCCACAATGACTGATTCCAGTTAGTAATACTGCTAATTTGTAATACAGAAGTGCAAAAGTTTCCTCCACAACTTACTTCAGAGAGAAGGCGATTCTTAGGAAGCAATTTGGCAACTTCTGGTGGAAGGTTCACATGCCTGAAAATTTCAAAACCCCAGGAAAATATTTATACACGTTTATACATACATCCAGACATATAAGAAGAAATTGAAGGTAAACTGAAGTACCTGTACTCGTAGGTATCATCAAAATACTTGTCCGAATACTGGATCTGAGCCATTTTGAATTTACTTGAGAAATCTCACTTTTACAGGGAAAAATGCTGAGGGGTTAAATTCTTCACTTATCAATCTGTAAAATTAAATGAATAATGAAAAGAAGTTAGCAAAGAAAAGAAATTCCTTGCTTTCAATGATCGATTCCCAAGTTGTGGGTGCGAAAGATACCTCAGAGAGAGAGACAAATTGAGGAGAGTGCCAAGTGCGCTTTCTAGGTTAATTGAAAATTTTCCAATTGATGGCGGCAATAATTTGACAATAAGAAGACTGGTGTCTGGTGATAAATCTTTAGAAATCAACAGATGAGGTTTTCAATTTTATATAAGAGCAAATAGACCTTCATCGTTCTACTTGTAGCTTTAGCATCTGTTCGTGAGTTTTTTTAAAGTATCGAATTTGAGCGTTTGCAGGCTGATTGACTTTTAGCATTTACAAATGGATCGATTTTGAGTGATTTTAATAGAGATTTTAAAAATTGTTCAACCTATGTTTGGGAATTTATTATTTATCGATTCTGAAAGTTTTTTTAATAAATAAAATTATGTCCGTAGTAAAATTTTCAGTTTATAATTTTTTTATATGAAATTTTTTTAACTCATAAGTAATATCTAATAAAATGAAAAAAATTTACACACAAGTTAATATTTAACTTAAAAAATTAAATGACGTTAAATATTTACCAAAAAATTTAAGTTTTTACTAATGAGTAAAATTTATAATAAGTTGATTTTATACTTTTAAATAATTTTAAGTGAAATTTTTACTCATAAATAACTTTTCATATTTTATATGTGATTTTTTATCTGTTTATTATTTTTATTTATAAATAAAAATTTTATATGAGAGTGATCTTTTACTATAAGTAATTTTTTAATTATAATGTAATTTTTCTTATCTTATAAGTAATACTTAAGTTTTTTTAATTATAATGTAATTTTTTGCTTATAAATAATTTTTTAGTTAATATATTTTTACTTACAAGTTAGTTTTGAAGAAAAAATGTTGATTCAAAATAATTATTCTATAGATAGTAAAATTAGAAGAGAATATGAAAAATGGTCAAAACCCACAATTTAGTGGGTTGAGAGAATTGTTCAAAATTACACTACACCGATTTTGGGTGATTTTTAAACCATTCAAAATCAGTGCCCAAAAAAATTAGTAAGCATCAATTTTTAAATCCATCATGAGCGGTGCGACCCAAAATCGATCAAAATAGGTGAAAAAGATTCCCAAGCAGGCCCTTAGAGGTTCGATTTTTCAGCTTGGTAGTATTTAGTCTCCAATGGATAGGTTAAAGTCAAATTTCACATCATAAAAATCAGTTTTCCTTATTTTAATTTGAGTTTGGGAGAGAGATAATTGAATTTGTATACTTTTCTTCTATCAAGTGGGAGTATTTATAGATTTCTTTAAGGCTTTGAAATATTCTAGAAAATGACAGGTGGTGACTGTTTAGTGGTAGGCTAATAACTGATTTTGTTATGTAAAAAAAGGTTGAACCCCAATCTTGAGGGTCCTTCCCGTCTTGTCCTTAGAGCTTTGTGAGGGAGGTAAATCGCGGGATGTGTCCCAATAGGCCAGGGAACAAGAGCTGCATGTACACTGCGCCTATAAGGAGTCCAATTCCATGTCTCGGGAATTGAACCCCCACACTGCGGCTGCCAGTAAGGCGTGAGATAACCTCACTCCCATCCTTTGCACCACTAGGGGCGATTTTGTTATGTATTCACGTGTTACTTGATGGTTTAGAAGACGTGCTTTTTTTATTTTTATTTTTTGTTATTTACTCATGTTTATTAAGTAATGGTATGGTTCGCCTTGCCTCTTATGCGACCTACCTTTTGCTTTAGTTGCCTTGGTGCTTTTATAATTCAATTGGGAGCTTGCAGGAAAGATTTCTTATTTTGACATCCACTAGAACAAATACTACTATACTGACATCACTATCTATAGTGCTCGATTGCAATTGAGAGATATGACGCCCGCTCTTATACCATTATTATGGATCACATACACACGATGGGTCTTTTTGGTGCTTTCGTGTAGCCCTTGCAAGCAGTAATTATTTTAGCTCGAATTTTTCAAATCCGATTTAGCACTACTGCAAGTAGTCACCATTTTAGGGTTTACCGACTCGATAAAGAGGACGAATTAGTGAAGGAGATGAAGAATAGTGGAATTTAGGTTACAGATTGATTGTATTTGAGTGATCTAGGATACGAATTCGGGATGAATAAACCTTAAATAAATTGCCTACCGTAAATCACTTTTTTATGGTTAGATTGAATTGAAAAAATAAAACAAAACACACGACCCAAAGAAAATGTCGATTTTGTCCTCGTACTTAAAATTCATTAGAATATGATTAAAACGTCCCCAAAAGAAGCTAATTTGTACATTAATCCAAAAAACTTGCACTTGATTGAACAGCATCAAGTGCAAAGAAGGTCCTATAAATTATGAAGGTCTATTATATAAGTTATGAAGGTCCTATAAGTTATGCATATTAAGCTTTTGATAAAGGGCTGCAAAGAAGTGATATTGACCGAAATTTTGCAGGAAAAGGAGCATGATTTTTTTATTTTTCCATTGCTATCTACTTGTCTAGGCCCTTCTTGTATACAGTAGGAACGAAACAGATGAAACAAGAAGAGATCAAATATTAAGAGATCAGAAAAATACTAGAAATATTCATGCACTTTAGCAAAATGAATGATATAACCTCAAGATAAGAAGCACATCCGAGCAGGCAATATGCA